AGGAGCCTGCTATCCTCCCCTGAAACACTGACCTGGCAGGTTCCATGGAAACGGGGAGATTAGAGAATGTGGAGGCCTCGGGAGCGTGGAGATGACTGACTGCGATTTCTTGTGTGTCCCGACTACGCCCCGTAAGAATCCAGAGCTGGTGACAAGCATAGGAAAGGCTTTCCTCTGATCACGTAGGAACAGGGGAAAACATTCTCTCCAGAGAGAAGCCACAGAGGAGGAGGCGCACGCGGGCGTCTGAGGCCGAGCCAGCCGAATCCGGCAGCCCCACCCTCAGGACAGGAGGGTTTCCCTCACAGTTCCGGGACCCCGTTCTGATCAAGGCCTGTGAATAGGGTTATGGGTTGGGGGCAATCAAGGGTCTCCTCGATTCAAAAGCAAAGAGAGGCACCCAAGTTGCTTAGCACTTAGCAGCCCTTCGCGTCCAGCGATTTGATGAAATAGCTTCACTTTTGTTAGGAAAGGCAGGGAGGGCTGGCGAACATCTGTTTTCTAAGATAAACAGGCCTCCTCCCCGAAGAGGCCGCCATGCGTGTGAGTGTGCAGCTGGCACTCACCATCTGAGAGGAAAAACGTTGGTAAAGTGGAAGCTGTAAAGAGAAGTCAGCAGAGGTCCCAACACAGGCAGCCTCCCTCCTGGGTGCGGGGTGAGCACGGCTACGTTCCGTGAGGTCCCCAGCGCAGGTGAAAAGACAGGCTGGGGCCCTGGCTGGTTTGTCTCGTGACAGAGCGTTGGCCTGCGGACCGAAGGGTCCCGGGTTTGTTTACGGTCAAGGGCACGTGCCTCGGTTGCAGGCTCGATCCCTGGCCCTGGTCGGGGCACGTGCAGGAGGCAGCCCATCGATGTGTTTCTCTCACATCGATGTTCCTGTCTCTCCCTCTCTCTTCCGCTCTCCCTAGAAATCAAAGGAAAAATACCCTCGGGTGAGGATTTTAAAAATTTTAAAGGAAAAAGAAAAGCCTGGCGTGGGCAGTAATTCACGATGAGGAAGAGGGTCTGGCCGGTGTGGCTCAGTGGTGAGCATCGACCTAGGAACCAGGAGGTCACGGTTCGATTCTCAGTCAAGGGCACAGGCCCGGGCTGTGGGCTCGATCCCCAGTGTGGGGCGTGCAGGAGGCAGCCGGTCCATGGCTCTCTCTCATCGTGGATGTATCTCTCTCTTCCTCCCTCTGCCTTCCTCTCTGAAATCAGTAAAAACATTTTAAAAATCAAATAAAAAGAAGAGGAAGAATAGGGCCTGGAGGGTTTAGGGATGAGGCTCTGGGGGAGAAGGGGAAGCTGGAGGCGTGGACGGGATGGGCCGTCCCCAGGGTGCATGTCGACTTTTGGCTGCAGGAACCGAGTCCCAGCACCGACACCATGCGGTGTTTCCTCAGACGCTGCCTCCTGATCTCCGTGGCTGTCGGATTCCTGTGGCTCTTCCTCACTTTGCAAATCCCCAGGGACAAGGACGAGGATACAAATGTAAAGGCCAAGTTGCTCTCAGAGGGAACTGAGGCTATGGGGGAGGGGGTAGTGGACAGGAAGACTCTCATAGTGCCTGTCCCTGTCCACCGAGAGCAGGCAGCTCCAAAGGGGGTGGGGTGTGGACTGGGGCCCGTTGGTCCATAAAGAAGCTGCATCCCCCCTTCCAGCCCCTGCCCCCCCCCCGCTCCCTCCCATGGGCGGAGGTAAGAAAGGCAGCAAATACTGCTGGAGCCCGGATCCTCGGGCCAGTGGTCAGACGTCCTGAGAAGGCACGGGGCTCACCTAGGGAGAGGGACCCACGCCCCTCGCCTCCCCCTAGAGAAGCCGCCAGAGCTCAACCTGGTTCTTTTCCTGAAAGAAGGCTCATGCTTTGCTTTCGTCGATGTCCCAGGACAGTCACGGCGGAAGGAAGGCCCCGAGACCACTAGCAGACTGGCAGGACCTCACCTCCAAATACATGAGAACGACCCAGCAGAGAAGAAAGAGTGAGTCCCAGGGAGGGGCGTGGGGTCCCACGGGAGGCAGGGGCGTCCCGAGAAGTCCGGTAGCAAGGAAGGAGAGAGGGAGGAGGGAGGAAACGCAGCACTTTGCCGGGGAATATCTGAATCTGGCCACTTTCTCCCCACCAAGCACCTATATGACACGCAGTGACTTGCTCTAGGGATTAGGGAACACCGGGACCAGAACAGGCCTTAGAGTCACATGGTCCCACCCCCTCCGGTTTACGGACCAGGAACGAGGCTCGGGGGTGAAGGGACTTGCTCAAGGTCACGCCGTCAGTGGCAGGAAACCTTGGGGGGGGGGGGGACCTTGGGGTCCTGACCTGTAGGAGAAGTGCTTTTTCTAGTGCATCTTCTTCAGAGGAGAGTTTTGGGGAGACGACTGGGCACACAAAGGGCTGGTAGATCCTGAGCGCGTGGCCCAAGCGCCATAAACCTGCTCGGAGGGAGCAGGGGACTCAGCACCACACAGCTCAGCGCTTTGCAAACCGAATGCGCACGCGAGGCACCTGGTGATGTCGGTCAAAGTCGGGCTCTGTTTAAGTCCAGGTCGGGCGGGGCCCACGTCTGCATTTCCGGAAGCTCCCAGGCGAGGCTGGTGTTGCAGGACTGAGGACCACATTTTGGTAGCGAGGACTCGAACCTCCTCCACGGAAAGACAGACTCCATGGAAAATGGGAGGGGGGCCGGCTGGCGAGGCTCCATGGTTGAGCATTGACCCAGGAACCAGAGGTCACCCATTCATTCCCCGTCAGGGCACGTGCCTGGGTTTCAGGCTCCATCCCCAATGTGCAGGAGGCAGCCAACCAATGATTCTCTCTCATCATTGGTGTTTCCATCTCTCTCCCTCTCCCTTCCTCTCTGACATCCATAAAAATATATTTAATAATAATAAAAATAAAAGAAAATAGAAGGGGGAAGAAGGGAAGAGAAGAGGCCCAAAGATCTTCCTACCCGCCCCCTTGACGACGCCCCCCACGCACGCTGACAGCTGTCCCTGTCTTACCCCCCAGCGTGGCTGACGGTGGGCATCTCCTCGGGCCGAGGGCGGGACCCCAACGGCCTCCTGCACACGCTGGGCAACCTGTTCCGTGCCTCCTCGAAGGTGGAGCAGAAGCACCTCACGGTGCTGGTCCACCTGGCGGACTCGGACCTCACGTGGCTCCGGGAGACCGTCGTTCAGATCTCAAGCCTCTTCCACCCCCAGATCCTGGCTGGGCGGCTGGTGCTGATCCACGCGCCCCCGGACGCCTACTCCGCAGTGGGTCCCATCGGGGGCCAGGAGGCCCGCTGCGGGGACGCCGCCTCCAAGCGGAACGTGGACCACGCCTTCCTGGTGAGCTTCGCCCCCCAGCTCTCCGACTACTTCCTCCTGCTGAGGGACAACACCTTCTGCGCCCCCAGCTTCCTCACCCACATTCGGCGGAAGGTGTGGGCCCTGCGCGCCCACCCCTGGGCGCTGTTGGAGTTCTCCAACAGGGGCTCCCTGGGCAAGCTGTTCCGCGGCAGCGACCTGCCCCGGCTGGCCCGCTTCCTCCTGCTCTTCCATGAGGACCAGCCCCTGGACCGGCTGATCCCGCGTTTCAGCATCCTCCTGGCCCAGAGGAGGCCCGCCCTCTTCAGGCCCTTCCTCTTCTACCACCGGGTCCCCTACTACAGCGCCAACCAGGACCACCAGGCCCGGGCCGCCCACAGCCGGGGCCCCCACGGCCCCCACAACCCGCCGGGAGCCGTGTTCACGGACATGAAGGTCTTCGGTGTCCACTTCCCCTGGGAGGCCTACACCCTGGACGAGTCTTTCTTTTGGACCCACAATGTCAGCGCCGGGAGCCACCTGACGGTCATTCTGAACCGCCCCGCGAACCTGAGCCGCGTGCAGGTGCTGACGGGCACCATCGTGGAGGGAAAGCATGCCTTGCAGAGGGGGCAGGTGGAGCTGGGCCACAGCCCCGAGGGGGTGCCCCAGTTCTGCACCAGCTTCGTCTTGCTGGGCCAGCTCCTGGAGGGGCAGCTGGATCAGGAGGTGCTGCCGACACCCACGGGGGCCGACGTGAGCTGCGTGAAGCTGGTGGTGAACGCCGACCAGGCAGGCGGGCTCATGGTCAGGCACATCTACCTCTGGGAGGAGAGCGCCAGGGCCACCGAAGCGGCTCAGGGTTGAAGATCGATCGGTAAAGGGTGCGAACAACTAAAGCCTGGAAGCCGTTTCATTCCAGCCCCTGAGTGGTGGGACGAGGGAAGAGGGTCAGAGGGAGACGCTCCATCACGCGTTCTGTACCACAGAGACGTCAGGAGGCCTGTCCCTTCGCCTTTGCTCCCAGCCGAGTGACTCGTACAGTCTGTTTTTCTTTTTCTTTTTTAAAAATACTTTTTACTGATGTCAGAGAGGAAGGGAGAGGGAGAGGGAGACCAAAACAATGATGAGAGAATCATGGCTTGGCTGCCTCCTGCACACCCCCCACTGGGGGTCGAGGCTGCAACCTGGGCGTGTGCCCTGACCAGGAATGGAACCGTGACCTCCTGGTTCTTGGGTCGGGGCTCAACCACTGAGCCATGCTGGTTGGGCTCATTTTCCAAGCTTTTACTGAATCTCCCCTTCGAGGAGAGTGAGGGTGAGGGTCTCAGTGCAAACTTATCTCCTGCAGGCCTCTGTGGGGAGCGGGCGCCCTCTATGGACGGAATAATGAGGTTCAGGGGCGAGTCATTCTATCCCCACCCCCACCCCCATTGTAGGGGGTGGGGGTGGGGAAAGGTGAGGGGAGGGGGGACTCCAAGGGGGGTGCACACTCCGCCCACCGTCCTCCTGAGCCCGTCCCTCCTGCCCAGGAGCTTCAGGGGACCCAGGCAGGTAGGTAGGACAGGCCCAGACAGGTAGGAAGCCTGGCCCCTCCCCCTGTAGGTGAGGAGGGTGGATTTTCCCACCCAAATGCCTGGGGGCAGCGTCCTTCCCTGCACGTGGGTGGCAGAGGCAGGCCCCGCTCAAGGCCAAGGCCAGAACTCCGTCACCAGTTTTGTTTCTTGTTCCTTATGTCCCTGGGAAGGAAGACCGAGCCTCACGGTGCAGGTCAGGTGGCAGGGACACAGGGTCACCGACATTCATCACCATCCCTGGAACCCTCTGACCCTGAGGTCCCAGGAGGTCACCACTGCTCTGTCCACAGCCGGGTACCACAGCTCCTGCTTCCTGGCTCCCACACAAGTCCCTCAGCCAGCTCAGGACACGTGTGTGCATGGGGCCAGCTCAGGACACGCGTGTGCATGGGGCCAGCTCAGGACACGCGCGTGCATGGGGACAGCTCCGTGTGCCTGGGTGTGCTGTCTGTCTGTCTCTCTCTCTCGTTTAACTCACCTGCAGGACCTCTTGTCGGGTCAGGATGTCCCTGCTCCACAGTTGGTACCCGTTTCTGCTGCTCGGCTCTCAGCCTTGGCCCAGCATGAGACCAGCCTGGGTCTGAGACATCCTACCTGGCCCTCGACCTCTTCCTTCTGGTCAGCTGCTGGAAGGTTCCGGCACTAGGCGGGGAGGGACAGAGGCAGTCATCACAGTGCTTCAGCCGGAGCTGGGGTGGGAGGTGAGGGCTGAGCCAGAGCCGTGACCTGCCTGTGTGGAGGGGTCGTGGACGTGACCTGCCTGTGGGGAGGGGTCATGGACGTGACCTGCCGGTGGGGAGGGGCGTCGGGATGACCTTGGGCCACCCGGGGTCTGTCCAGTACCTCCTAGGATGGTGAGCAGCCTCCCTAGTCTCCCCTTCTTTTCTGGTTTGGGGCCCTGAGAGAAGGTCATGGCAGTGTTTATGCAAATGAAGTTCATGCAAATAATGATCAGCTTGTCCCGCCCCCTGGAGCCTGCTGCCCTGGGTGGTGTGTACTGGGAAAACAGGAAGGAGCAGGTCATGCCGCTCCTGGTTTCTGGGAGAAGAGACCAGTGGAGCCGGCCCTACACGCCAAGCAGACACAGGCCCACCCTGGAATACGTGCCGGGCGGTTTTCCTAACCGCCTTCCCACCCAGCTGAAACCCAACTCCACCTCTAATCTGAGCCCTTGGGTCCCAGGGGAACCTGGAGGCCGAGGGTCAGCCAGGAACAGCTTTGCAGACACACAGTCTAAGGTAGAAAGTCAACAGCCATGACACGGCCTTGGAGGAATGAAGACAAAGAGCTAACGCAGGCCGAGGGCCTTGTCTCTTGGGACTATGGGGACTGAGGGAACCGGGGGAACCCAGGAGCCGCAACGATGGAGGGAGATGGGACACCAGAGAGAGACCACGGCCCCTGTTAAGTGCAGGCGGCTCCCCGGCAGGGGTCCTGTCGTGGCCTGGGCCCTGTGCTGATGGGCCCTCAGATCCCATCCTCTCAGCAAGCCCCTCCCAGGGATCCCTTAATCAGGACCCACCGATGAACGCTAATTCATTAGCCCAGGTTAATGCTGACAACTAACCCCCCCCCCCAGGGCATTTCCGGGCAGCCCTGCAGCTCACTGGTGCTTAAAAGACCAGATGCCCGGCCAGCGTGGCTCAGTGGTTGAACGTCGACCTATGAACCAAGAGGCCATGGTTCGATTCCCGGTCAGGGCACCTGCCAGTGACTGACACCTGGACCTCGAAGAACATGTGTGGCCAGACTCTCTATGATAGTTCCTTTCTCGTTGGGGATCCTTTTGAGAATAAGAGGTATAGACCTTCTTGCCTAAAAGGCCCATAAGGATCTTTAGAAGTTATTTCTGGTGTTCATAGCCCCAGACTGAACACCCCCCATCCTTCAGAATCCTGGCTTGGGGACCCTGGGACCACGAGGCCTGGGCCAGACTGGCCTGTGGCTTCAGCCTCTACTGCCCTCTGCTGGCTGGCAAGAGGGAGGACAGGCAAAGTGCAGGTTGCTCCCTGACACTGAAATTGAGTGCTTTCTGTCCGGGTGCTTGGGGCAGGTACCCTTTCAGGGGCTTTCCCCAGAACCTCTACGAGGCTGTGCCTACTTGGCTGTTAAACCCTTCCACTGAATTCTTAATTTTGGTTATTGGCTTAAAAATTTTTTTTGTTTAATCCTCACTCGATGGCATTTTCCATTGGCTTTTAGACAGTGGGAGGGGGGAGAGACAGAGAAACATGGATGCGAGCGAGACCCATCGATTGGCTGCCTCCCACACAAGCCCTGACCAGGGTTGGGGATCCAGCCTCCATCTGAGGAATGTGCACTTGACTGGAATCGAACCTGGGACCCTTCAGTCCGCAGGCTGATGCTCTATGCACTGGGCCACACCGGCCAGGGCTGATGCCTTCTGACTTAAACAATATTCTGTCCAGCCCTTCTAGCGGCCATCGGTGGGACGGTCAGTCCAAGCGACCTGTCCGTGCTTCTCAGCCCAAGTCCTTGCTAGTTACATCCTTGACTCACACCGAGCAGCCTCCTGCACAGCACAGGAGCAAGTATGTAAAATGTCAGCACACCACTGTCCGGCTTTGATTCTGGGTTGAAAAAGGTTTTTGTAGAAACAATGAGTCCTTAGGGAAATCCACCTCCCCCGCAGGAAGGCAGCTCTCTATCCTCAAAACAGCGAGTGCGAGTTCTCTGCCTGCCTTACTGTGCGGGAGGCCAAGAGCTGACATTCTCATTGTGTCCCAGACACGACAAGGGTAACCAGTGCGTTGGCAGACCTCAAGGTAACTCTTCAGTTTCAGCTCTCCTCTGCTGTTTAAAATCACATATTCTTGCCCTAACTGGCTTGGCTCAGGGGATAGAGCGTCGGCCTGCGGACTCAAGGGTCCCAGGTTTGATTCCGGTCAAGGGCATGTACTTTGGTTGCGGGCACATCCCCAGTAGGGAGTGTGGAGGAGGCAGCTGATCGATGTTTCTCTCTCATCAGTGTTTCTAACTATCCCTCTCCCTTCCTCTCTAAAAATAAAATCAACAAAATATATATTAAAAAAATCACATATTCTTTCCCAGGACATACAGGACTATCATTTCCATTGTTTAAATGCCTTTATTTCTTTCAAATCAAACTGAAAAGGCAGGATAACAACTTGATATTTTTGGCTACTGGGCAACAGTGTTTGGCAATTTTCAAAAAAAAAAAAATACAAATCATCACTAAGTATATAAAAACTTCATTAGAAATAACAAATGCAAATCAAAACGAGACTACTGTTTGTATTAAAGTGGCAAAATATATCTTTTTGAGAGAGAAACATGGATTTGTTGTTCCACATACTGGTGCATTCACTGGTTGATTCTTGCATGTGTATCCTGATTGGAGGTTGAACCCGCAACCTGGGCATATCTGGACGACACTCTAACCCACTGAGTTACGTGGCCAGGGCCAAGTAGTCTTTTAATGGCCACACATGCCCGGTGTTGGAACGGTTCAGCCACGCGAGCCTGTCTTCCTCTGCAGGGTAAACAGCACGGCCAGTCCTGAGGCATGTGCACTGCACACCCTGCAATCCCACGTTTCACCCCGAGGGAACAATTAGGAATGTGCATACAGGTTCAGCTACCATTTAACCGGATTGTTTAAATAAATACAGAACTACGATGGCAGACTAAAAACAAGGGTGTACACCAGGAGATGTCTACACGCAAGAGAAGTTGGTGTGTTGTTAAATGGACAAAGCAAGTTATAACAGAGTACAGTATGGGCTCATATTTGTTTTAAAAACCATACATACGTGTAGAAAACATTGAGATGGACATACACAGCATTACCATTGGCAATCTGTGGATGGTGGAAATACGAGGGATTAAAAATGTTTATGCCCATTTTTGTATTTATCTGCAAAGAATGGGCACTCTTTCTGTGATTAAGAAAAGGAAAGTCGAAGCCTAGTTTTAGAGAATGCTTTGCCGGAGCTTGGCTGTGCTAGGAGGGGCCCTTCGCCCACAGAGGCATCTACTTGGTTTTGTTCCTCCCAACCTGAGTGGAGAATTCTCAGTTGTCTTTCTGTAAATGCCATAATCATGGACACTAGACCACTTGTCTAGAAAACGGTTCCCTCATTTCTGCTGGAGCTCTGACCAAGGAGGAGGAAGTGGGCCAGTTGCAAAACCAAGCCCAAGGCCCACCTGTTACTGAGGGAGCCCTTAGAGTAAGCTCTCGGGGGAGGGGACAAGCCGACTCAGAGAGGCGGCCCTGAGTTAGTCCTCGTGCAATGCCAGGTCTCCTGGGTCTGAGAGGTGGGCGATGGGGAGGAACCTGGGCCTGGCTGCACAGAGTCCTGCTGAGGCGAGTCATTCCAGAAGAGAAACGACAGAACCACTGAAGTCCTAGTGGAAGGCGAGATACTTGGCTAAAGTCACAGGGTTAGAGCAGCCCCCCAGCTGTAGCCACAGAGGCCTCTGGGTGGAAGGTTTGTATTGGGGGTTGGAGTAGAGATTCCAAACGAACCGGGCCCAGCAGGTTCAGTAAATGACATTATCCATTAAGGAAGTCTTTCTTGAGAACAAAGGAAGCAGTAACTTGTCCAGAAAAGACAAACCTACACACTCCTGTGCAACATGGCCAAGGCCTATTCCTCTGAGACCCCCGTCCTCTTCCGGGGCCTCCGATCCCGGAAAACGGCCCAGGCTGAGCTTTCCTAGGGTGGCTCCCGATGGGGCTCAAAGTCTGAATCTCAACGAACAGGCTGTCAACCTCATCAGGGTTTGAAGGGAAGAGGGGCCGCATTCATCTTCACCACGAAAGGCTCCTATCAGCCTAGAGGTGAGGTTCTCACACTGGCATAGAGGTGCACCCGCAGCATTTCTGATCAAATACTAACGCTTGTAAAGGTTATACGTTTACAGAGAATAAATGCCTGTGAAGTTAGCCACACAACAAAGTCACTCTCAGACATCTGTGTGCCTTCTTGAGAGAGGAAAAAGGTGAAGCCTCCACTATCAGCACACGAGCATCGTGTGGCTGAAAGGTGGGTGATACTCGTCCAGAGCAAGCAGCAGGGGAGCCCCGGGTAAAGGGGAGCCCCAGGTAAAGGGGAGCCCCAGGTAAAGGGGAGCCCAGCAGGATGCAGGGGGGAGCAATGTGAGTGAAGGGGCCGCTCTCATACTTGGGGGTGCAGCTGAGCCCCCTCCCCTCAGTTACTCATGGGAAACCCGTTCCAAGGCCACATAGAAACTGTTCTTGTCATCGAGGCAATGCCAGCCGATGGGTCCGATCTCACAGTCTGCGCAGACCAGAAACTTGATGTTCCCCACGTCCTTGGTGAAGCCCACGTTCTCGAAGATGAACATGTCCTCCACCAGCCAGTGCTCCTGGAGGAGGTCGCCCTCGGGGCTGCTGCCCTCGGCCAGGGCCGGCTTCTTCCTCATGGAGGGAAGGAAGAGCTGCAGGGGAGAACACAGGAAGGCCGCGCTGAGCACCGTCACACAGCACCCCGCTCACCGTGGGCTTTACGCGGGGCCCTCACCAGCAAGACACGCAGTCCTATCAGGTCACAGACGAGGACGCGGTTGCTCCTGTCATCTGCCCCCCGATTCTAGAGACTGAAAAAGGAACTCTGAGCAGCTGTGGTGGTCACTTGGCTTCACTGCTATCCTGACCTTGGGCTTCGAGGCCCCACCGGCTCCTAAGCTTCCCAGAGCTTACCCTGCTCCAGCCACACGGGCCTTCCTGACTTCCTCAGGTGGGTAAGTCTACTCTGCCCTCAGGTCTTGGCTAGACCAGCTCCTTCTTGATATTCAGCTCAAAAGTAACCTCCTTGGTAAGTCTTCCTTAGCCAATCTGAATTAGCTTCCCATAATGCCCGCTGTATTATTATTATTAATTTATTTATAAGGGAGAGAGAAACATTGCTTTGTTGCTCCACTTATGTATGCATTCATTGGTTGATTCTTGTATGTGCCCGATCTAGGATCAAACCCGCAACCTTGGCGTGTCAGGATGGACGATGCTTTAACCAACGGAGCAACCTGGCCAGGGCTTCCCAAACTCTTTCACAAAACAGCATGGACTCCGTGTGCGTGTCTGGCATCGGCAATCACAATACTAGGTGGACCGGGGAATAATGCTGATTTTTTTTCCCAATAGATGGAGTTACACGTATGTTGATATATATGCGATTTGATATGCATGCTATTTTGTATTGACAACAAGCTTCAAAACTTCATATATCAAATTTGCTGAAGGTGTTAACAACATAGATGTTTTTACGCTTAAAAATGTTGAATTTCGTGCCAAAAAAAGAGCATTTTGCGGGAAGTTTTAATTCGTTATTTTGAAGAAAAGTGCTGCTGACAGTGATCGCATACTTCGGGAAGCTTAATGGTGAACATGCTCCATCTCAAGATACTTGGGAACGCTGGTTTAAATGCCTTAAAAGTGATGATTTCGATGTGAAAGACAAAGAACATCCAGGTCAACCGAAAATGTTTGAAGACCAATGATGACAAGCATTATTGGGTGAAGATGCGTGTCAAACTCAAAAACAACTTGCAGAAATATTAAATGTTGCTCATCAATTTCTGATCATTTATAAGCAATGGGAAGGATTTTAAAGGAAGGAAAATGGGTGCCACATCAACTGAACGAAAGACAAATGGAAAACCGAAAAGTCGTCAGTAAAATGTGGCTTCACTGGCACGAAAGAAAGCCTTTTTTTGCATCGAATTGTGACTGGAGATGAAAAGTGGATTTATTTTGAGAATCCCAAACGCAGAAAATCATGGGCTGATCCAGGTCAACCGTCAACATCAACTGCAAGGCCAAATCGCTTCGGAAAGAAGACAATGCTTTGCGTTCGGTGGGATCAGGAAATGTGTGATGTATTATGAGCTTCTAAAACCAGGTGAAACCGTTAATACTGATTGCTATCGAAAACAAATAATAAATTTGAACCACGCTTTGATCGTGAAATGACCAGAATGTGCCAGAAGACATGGCAACGTAATTTCGCTTCATGATGACAAGATGACCACTTGTTCCGATCGACGGCACCCGCATATTCTGAGCAGCGCTTCAAAACGGACAAAGAAATGGACAATTGGGTCTCTGAATGGTCTGCCTCAAAACAAGAAAAGTTCTATTGGGACGGTCTCCACAAATGACCTGAAAGATGGGGGAAATGTGTAGCTAGCGAGGGACGTTACTTTGAACAAAGCACTTTTGATGTTTCTCCTGAAATTACTGTGTTTTCTTTGATGACAAAGTCCGCATTATTAACTGGTAAAGGGTCAATCCGCATTACTAACCGGTACACCTAGTAAAAGCAGGTAGCTTTTAAAAATTAAAAAAAAAAATTGGCCCCTAATGCTGTGCGGGCTCCTGAGATAGGTAACCATCACAACTCAGCAAGGTTCTGTTGATGCCGCAGTTGGGGGCTTTTTCAAGAATATTTTCTTTGTAGAAAATACATTCTTAGTGTAGAAAACTTGGCAAGCATGCCACAATGTAGAGAACGGAAACTGTTACAATCGAGCGTAAACTTCTGTCAACTTGTTTCTAATTTTCCCCTTTCTCTGATTAAGATGAGAATAAGAAACTCTTAAAATACCGACGGAATCTCTGAGGTTTCTAACTTCTCCCTCCGCCGAGAACTTGGGGTGGTTTTAAGACGCGGCCACGAATTCTGCGACAACCCTTCCACCCAGCGGAGCTCACGCTGTGCCCTGGAGCCAGGGAGCCGCTGGGCTACCCCACTGCTCAGGTGTCGCTGCGACCACAGTTCAGGAAAGACCCTGAGTGAGAACTGGTGGGACACAGGCCTCCCGGTGCAGCGGGGAAAACGAGAGTCACAGGACCAGCAGAGACCCCGGGTGTGAGGTCCCAGGTGTGAGGCCCCAGGTGTGGGGTGGGGTCCCAGGTGTGAGGCCCCAGGTGTGGGGTGGGGTCCCAGGTGTGAGGCCCCAGGTGTGGGGTGGGGTACCATGTGTGAGGTCCCAGGTGTGGGGTGGGGTCCCAGGTGTGGGGTCCCAGGTGTGAGGTGGGGTCCCAGGTGTGAGGGGGTGAGGTGCCAGGTGGGGTGTGGGGTCCCAGGTGTGAGGTCCCAGGTGTGGGGTGGGGTCCCAGGTGTGGGGTGGGATCCCAGGTGTGAGGTCCCAGATGTGGGGTGGGGTCCCCGGTGTGGGAGAGCGCGGTGTCTTCAGGCCCCGCCCCGCCCCAACTCCAGAGGTGCCACCAGCCCCGCTACACCGTGTCCCCGTTCTTGGCTGAACCCGGTCCCCCTGAGAAGCGCTGCGGGCGGAGCCCCCGGTGCGGATTAACCGCCTTTTCCTGCGGCAGGTTAACCGGCCATCCCTTCCGCCTTGTCACGAGCGGTGGCGGCGGAAGGAGGGCATGAAGGCCGGTGACTTGGAGGAAGCAGGACCTGGGTCCCGGGAGCTGAGGCTCGTCCCGCCGACCCTGCCCGGCACCTAGACGAGTCCTCTGCACACTGACCCGGTCACCCGACTTCCTGACTATGGAGTCATCAGAGTTGCTCGTAACTCCCTGTCTTCTGAGGCGTGAATTCAGTGCCGAGCGGGAGGGGACGGAAGGCAATGTGGGTCCCACCCGCGGGGACACGCCCCCCTTCATGCTGGGAGCCGATGGCCGGCCAGTGCTAAGCAGTGACCTCTCACCAGCGGACAGCGGGGGGTGGAAGCGCTTGAGAGCCGAGCTGGATCGTCACGACCTCCCTGTGGTTGTCGCTCCTGCATCCGATGGGCGCAGTGAGGAAGGTCCGGGTCAGATCTGACTTCCGGGGTGCAGGACAGTCAGAGTTCCCAGGTCCTCAGGTCAGAGCCGCGGGCTCAGGGTCCTGAACCCAGGCGCGCACGGGGTCAGGCCAGATGTCACCCTCCCCCCCCATGACCCACCTGCATTTCCTCCTCCTGTCAACTGGGCGTTCCTGGAGCACCCTCATAATACGCCAACCGCTCAGGACCCTCGGCGATGGGCACTTTGTACCAGAAATAACTTCATTTCCTGAAAACTCGCTGTATGTCCGGTGCTGCGATGATCCCAGCTGTGCTTTGGAGAGTTAGCAGGACAAATGGAGGGCCTGGGCTGGAAGACAGGGAAGTGGCGAGGACATCAGGAGGCCACTGCTCCGTGAGTCCGGGTGAAAGGCCTGCACTACGAGGGAGTAAAAATACAGGAACGGATTTGGGACAGAGAGAAAACCGTGCAGAACCCAGAAACGAATCAAATGTGTGCGCATAAGATGAACGATAGCTTTCCGCAGTGGATAACCAAGTGACTGGCTTCCAGTTAAGGGACGGAGAAAAGCAGGAGGAACCGCCAAGTTAGGGGTGCCCCTGGGCGGGCAGGATGTGTGTGACGGGGAGGCATGGAGAGGGAGCACTGCAAACAGCCGGTTGTGGTGTCGTCGGAAACTCCTTCGAGGAGCCACCAAGGCCGCCTCCCCAGGGGCTCTAGCTGAGCGAGGCACCCGTTTCCAGCTGCAGTTTCAGCAGCAGGAGCCCATCTGCTGGAGAGCTGGGCCGGCTTCTTCAGGAACCACTTCCTCTTTGGCTCCCCCTTCTCTTTGCTCTGGGACTAGCTGGACTTGTGCAGTTTTGCAGGCCTTCTGCACAGCTGTTTCTGCCACGTGCCATAGACTGAAGCAAACAGAAGGGCTGGGATGATTAAAACCCTGAAATTCAAGTGGATACTAAAGGAGCTTCTTCTGGATTCCCTGTAGGGCTCAAGGACACGCCTCATGTGAGAGGAGTCAACGAGTATGGCAAATTCAGAAACATTTTCCTGGTGAGACTCTCGTACCTGTGTCTGCAGAGAACAGTGGAGCCAGTTGGCAAACACAAGGCCAACAGGGTGAAGACTCTGGACCCACAGCTGGCCTCTATGTCTGCTCCCGCAAATGTAGGAGGGCAGTGCTGGTTCGCCACAAATTTTCTTAAGGCATTTGAGACAGATTATTTTTAATATTTTCTTAAAAATATACAAAGGAAATGAACTCTTTAGGTTAATTCAATTCAGGGAGAGGAGAAAATGGAATTTCAACGTAAAGGGAAAGGGCTTTCGTTTGGGTCATCACATTCCCACACTCCCAATACCATAACGCACGGATTTCACTCGAGCACAGGAGGGCCCAGAACGGGGCTCGGAAACGGTGAGCAGGGCCTGGGTAACACAGGACTCTGCGCTGCCCTTTGATTCTTGTCCTGGGATGAACACAGTTCACTCTAAGGGCAGGTTGGGGACCCAACGGTAGGACAAGGAGGAAATGTACCGAACAGCAGTAAAAACCACCCTTAGCAGAAGTGTGCGCTTAAAAGGACGGGCAATGCCAAGAAGCTGAACTTGCAGGCTGTTGTACCCCACCCCTCCCCCCAATAAATAGTACGGAAATGTTACAGCACAGTCGTGTCTGATTCAGCAAAGCCCTCTCACCCCAAGGCAAACCTGGCTGCGGGGGAGGAGCCCTGGCAGGAGTGTGACAAATACAAA